CTTTGAGATTGCGACGGTTCGAGGGGCACACAGAACTGCCAACTCAGGCTTGAAAGTCTTGCCCTGACATTATGTTATTGGGGGATTTGAAAACGTTTGACAGACCCTATTTGTAACTCTAATGCTTCCTGACTGAGCAATGAGAGCAAGCGCTCTGGGGGGCCTGGCTCCCTGCCACCCACCTTTTGGCGTGGGGCTGGGCTTTCAGATCCTGTGTTCTGTGGGCTCCGTGCAATTTCCAAGACCTCTTCCCCGGCATGGAAAAATTCTCCTGATCCTGGAAAGGTCACGATTTGCAGGAGCAGAGAGCCTAGATGATGCTCTTACAGAGACTCTGAATACTTGTGGCTAGAGCTGGTGAACCTTTTTTGCAAAAATGCAGATAGGGTGCCACTGGAACACTCAGTAAATTCATGCCGATTCTGCCAAATCGTTTTTGGTCATAAAATCCTGAGAAAAATAGTCTAAAATAATCAAAATGTTTCATTTCAACATTTTCTAAACAAAATGTTTCAATTTTTTGGTTCAAAACAAGTTTTTATGTCAACATTTCTCCTATTTTTGATTTTTTTTAAATAAAATTATCTAAAAATGGTTGAAATCCAGATGAAACATTTTGGTTTTGTCAAAACGTTCTTTGACCCAAAATGATTTTTTTATTATTATTATTTTGCTGAAAATGTTGAAAAATGTTCATTTTGGTTCAACCCTAAATTAATTTTTGTTAATTGTTTTTGGAATTGCCAGTGAACCAAAGACTATGATCCAGTTCTATTTGTGGTGGCCCCCAAGCACCCCCCGCTGAGCAGAGATAATTAACTTTAGCGTGGGCTCTAGAATTTTCAGTTGCTTTTGATTCTAGAATTGACTCCCGGTTCTTGGCTAGGTCAGATCACTATTGATTTGTCAGCTGTCTGCAGTTGTATAACATGGTTAAACAGCCTGTCTCCGTGTGTTCAGTGCACACGAGCATTTATTTTAACAACATCTACACCTGCTCTGACAGATTGTCAGGAATCAACTATTTATAAATAATGCAGTTTTGTAATATGCTTTTGTAAGTTATTAAAGAGATCTTAATAAATATTTTAGAACTAGAAATAGCCATTTTTAATATTAAAGAAGAAAACCATTTAAGTAATTCAAACCCCAAATTTGCCGATATATGTAGGATAGATGTTCTCTCTGTTCTAAAAATGCAGTAGCTGTGTATGGAAGAGATGTGATGTCTTGGCTTTTTAGAGACAGGGCCGGCTCCAGGCACCAGTGAAGAAAGCAGGTGCTTGGGGCGGCCAATGGGAAGGGGCGGCACATCCGGGTCTTCAGCGGTAATTCGGCGGCGGATCCCTGAGTCCCTCTCGGAGCGAAGGACCTACTGCCGAATTGCCGCCGAAGAATGAAGCGGCGCGGTAGAGCTGCCGCCGAAGTGCCACCAATCGCGGCTTTATCTTTTTCTCCCGCCCCCCTCCCCCCCGCTTTGCCGCGTGGGGCGGCAAAAAAGCTGGAGCCGGCCCTGTTTAGAGAGGAGAGAGATTCTTGAAAGTTAATGTGGGTCAGACCTAAGAGAGGCTATCCCAGTAATTAAGTATCAGGGGGTAGCCGTGTTAGTCTGTAGCCACAAAAACAACAAGGAATCTGGTGGCACCTTAAAGACTAACAGATTTATTTGGGCATAAACTTTCGTGGGTATTAATTTGGGCTTGAATAGGGACTGGGAGTGGCTGGCTCACTACAAAAGCAACTTTCCCTCTCCTGGAATTGACACCTCCTCATCAATAATTGGGAGTGGACTACATCCACCCTGATTGATTTGGCCCTGTCAACACTGGTTCTCCACTTGTGAGGTAACTCCCTTCTCTTCATGTGTCAGTATAATAATGCCTGAATCTGTAATTTTCACACCATGCATCTGAAGAAGTGGGTTTTTTACCCACGAAAGCTTATGCCCAAATAAATCTGTTAGTCTTTAAGGTGCCACCAGACTCCTGGTTATCCCAGTAATTGGATACCTTCTTTCTTTGTTTGCAGGGTTGATCCCAGGATATTAAAGATCAAGGTGGGTGAGGTAATATCTTTCATTGGAGCAACTTCTGTTGGTGAAAGAGACAAGTTTTCAAGCTACACAAGTGGTGTTAATGGGCCACTTCACTGGGAATGGGCCCTTGAAATATGTATTAACTACTTATGCTAAATAATCTATTCTATCTTGACACTCTGAGTACCTCTCCCAGCCCTGAAGAAGAGCGCTGTATGGATCAAAAGCTTGTCTCTCTCACCAACAGAAGTTGGTCCAGTAAAAGATATTACCTCACCCACCTAGACCTTCTTTCTTTGACATTTATTTTTTAAAAGTATGGTCTCGTCCCCCCACACCTCATCCCTCACACTATCAATGGCCGTTCAGTAAGTGGCATAGCTTTCTGTGTGTAGGACCAGTGCCCTCTAGAGGCACGAAGCTTTCTTGGCCTGGAAAACTCTATTGTGTGCTGCATTAAGAGTGAGGATAGTTTAAGCCTCCCTTAGGGAACTGTCCTGTAGAGTTTAATAGAAAATAGCCGTTCTATGGGAGGTTGTGGAACTTTCTAAAGAATTCTCTCCGTGCTATAGAACGCTCCAAGCTTACATTTGAAATTTGATATTCATTTTTATAGTTCTAGATCAACCCTATTGGCTTCATCACTACTCAATTCTGTAGGATTTTTCCATACAACTTGGAGCATTTTAGATTTCTTCAGTTGGTTTGCAGGGCACCCCGGGTCTCTTTAGGTTATTCAGCGAAGTTTATCCTCGCTCTTTTTTGGAAAGCTGTTTGGTTGGCATTGTGTTGGATGTGAAAGCACTTTGCTGACCATAGCTGATGGGTCTAATGCCCAATGTAAGCTTTAGGTTTTAACTGGTAAATACCAGTTTTTTACTAGTGAAATAAAGATGCATCCAAACCAGCAAATGTTGGTTAAATCAAAAGACACCTGAGAATAGTTCCTGTCACCATCTTTCTCCTTGTGCTCATCGTGACCCACTACTTGGTTTACTGCCATGATCATTGCTGCACTAGAGGGACCCCTGAACAGTGGGACTATATGTATCAGGAGCAGCAAAATATGTACTGGAAGTAACAGAATGAAGCGAAGACCAGGCTGTGGTGTGGGGCTCCCAACCTTTACTTAATATAGTGGAGTCCTGTCAAATTTCAGTCATTTGACGTAACATGTAAGGATCAATATGAATGTCCCTAAGGCATATCCTCCCTATTTCAGCCTCAGTGTATTAATGTCCCCTATCTTCATTGGCCAAAGATATGCCAGCAACCCTGCTTATACTATTTAACTGTACTTTTACTTACCTGTGCTGTTTGGTTTCTTTTTGTCTGCACCCAGAGACAGGACAGAGTCTGCTCTCGGGTGCTTATAAATCCAGAGGTACTCCACTGGAGTTGTTGACTCTTACAACACTCCAAGGTTTGCTTCTGACTGAGAATATTAAGAAAATAGAAAGGAAAAGCATGTTTCCCTCTGCTGTAATGTTTTGTCATGGGTCTTTGTTGGTACTTTGCCTTGTTTATGTAAAAGCTATTTATAAAGAAAAATGTCTCTCCTGTTGATGTCCATTTAGAGGTCTCTTTCTGCTTTTTAAGGGTGAGATATTTTTATTAGCAATTTTTATAGTGAATGCTTGATACAGGAGGATAATCTTTCATTGCACATGAATAATGCAGTGTGGCAGTCTTTGGAAATGCAAATTGGAACTATGGAGGAAAAGGTGTTTAGCAATCTACTTTGTTGGATTTTATTAGCTTTCTGGATAAATTGTTTATTAATGACTTCAGCTTCCATAGCTGAATGCACACAGTTAATGATGATGCCAGGTGAGCAGCATTGTCAGAGACACAGAGCTTTTTTTCTGGCTCCAGCACAGAGCAACCAGAGCGTGAAATATACACAGGTGACTTTTTTTCTTTCGAGCAAACAGAATTTGTTTTCCATTATAAAGTGCATTTAAAAGTGTGGGCTTTTTTGTGTAAGAAAAAAGTGTCTATTCTGTTATTTCACATTTTTAATTTTATAATAACAGTGATTTATAAAAATGTACTCAGCCCACTGACTAAGCTGGATGAACTTGAAGCACTGCCACTTTAGAGTTTATAATTAGCCACAAAGGGCTTAGGGAAGGTTGTTACATGCAAATTAGAAATGTTCGAGACAGGTTACTTAGCAAGCATCTTGGAACTAAAGCTAAGCTAGGCTTAGAAACAGAACTCTGCTTCCCAAGTCTTGCTAGGGCTTGAGTTGGTGCATACTTTTAAACCTAGCTGTTTTTGTAATGTATCATGAAGTGTAGTCCAGGTCAGGGCTTGGCAAGTCCCTGTAGGGACTGCAGTAGGCAGAACAGGCTGTGTTGAGCCAATCAGGGAGACAGGGAACCCCAGGTTCTTGTCTACATCCAGTGGCCTCAGTGAAGAACCTCCCTTTAGCGTCGTAAGAAGATTCTTTTCTCTTCCTTACTGTGAGGGATCCTATCATTACACATCCTAGCAAAAATACAGCCACTCAGACAATGAGCAGAATTGTTTGACCTGATCCTATTAATCCTAAAGAGTAGACTGCTCAGCTATTGTGAGACAAGTAAATCCCATCGGTGTCTGCCTTGCAAAACAATCAAATATTGGTGCATGACACATAGTTTGTCACCCAATTTTTGCCACGATGGACAAGGTAATGAAGTTACCAGAGGCTGGTGCATGGGTACTTTATGTGATTCTTGTGAAAGTGCCCATGGACTGTGACTACGCTAGCAGAAAAGAGCAGTTAATAAGATCATGCTGCTGACTTCAAAGGTCTTGCATTGAACTGGTAGGGGAGATGTTGGTATAAATCGGAGTTATGTTGAGGTTTTAGGATGGAATTTTCAAACTTCTGGATGTATTTCAGTGTGGTTCTCTGCAGCACTGCTGTCCTGTCTGCTGTCCTTTCATAGTCTCTCTTGCTCTCTTCTTGCTATAGAACAAACTTGAGGATGAAGTGGAATCTGGGGAAGACTCAAGCACCAACAAACGGTACAGCCGATCGCTGATGGGCAGCTTTTCCAAACGCAAGGTTAGTCTCTCAACAGATAACTTCCACTGGGTAGCAGAAGAAGCACTAAGCTCCCAGATACGTATGTATCTGTGTGTGGGGGTGTGGGGGTGTGTGTGGAGTGGGGGGCAGTTGGAGAGAGAGAAGGAAGATATAATACACACAAAAACAACAAGGAGTCTGGTGGCACCTTAACAACTAACAGATTTATTTGGGCATAAGCTTCTTCATCTGAAGAAGTGAGGTTTTTACCTACAAAAGCTTATGCCCAAATAAATCTGTTCGTCTTTAAGGTGCCACCAGACTCCTTGTTGTTTTTGTAGATACAGACTAACACGGCTACCCCCTGATATATAATACACACAGTCTGACAGAGTCCCACTCCAATGGCCAAGCAGGCAGGATGACCAGTTGCCTTTATTCTTAACAACTTGCTTAAGTTCACGTCAAATGCTGACAATCTCAAGCTATCAGATCCAACCTGCAAAGCACTAAAGTTAATTTAAACTCTTGTAGCGCAGTTTATTGCAAAGTGCCTTAGAGTAACAATGGAACAAGAGAATCCTTTTCTCACACTCTCTCTGATCATAGTAATCATAGTAGCACCAATAATAATTCCCCTTTAGACAGCACCTTTCATGCTAGCATCTCTAGTCCCATTATGAAAGGCTCTAACCCCGGGCTGTCTCGTCCACGTGTGCACAGATCAATTCTGGTGTAGTGCAGTCTCTTGGAGTAAAAGGTTACCATTTCCCAGTCCCTGGAGGAAACATGCTCCTTGAAAGAATGAAGCAGAATTGCATGGGGCAGCCTGGTCAGTTGCTCAAATGCTGGTCTGATGGGTGTGGCTTTGAAAGCTAGCTGGCCCAGATCAACTCCTGTGCCAGAATTTTCAAAGATGACTAAAACTCTGTGTGCCCAACTTGAGGGGCCTGTTCTTCCCAAAATGCGTGCTCAAAATCTGGGTCTCTTTTAAAGTCCCTCAAGTTGGGCACCCATAAATCTCTAGTCACTTTTGAAAATCTGGGTCCAGAATTATTTGCCCCCATATGCAATCGCACCACCAACATGGCTCGCTTGCATGTGAATGGCTAACCTCAGACTAGCAGATTCATCCTCTGACAAAGGCTTCCCCCTTTTATCACCCTTTTCCTTTTCTAGCACCCACTTTGAATTTTGCAGACATCTGTTTGGTTGCTCCCCTGCACACAACTTTTCAGAACAAATCCCAGGAGGTTTGCTCCGCTCTGCTCGTAGCACTCAGGCACACATGACTAAATCTGTATTTATTTTTCACACACCCCACCCTTTAAATGTTTACATAAGCCTCTGCTGAACAATCATGCCTGTTTTTGTACCATGGCTTTGTTTCCTATATGCAGAAAAAAGGAAGCAAACTGAAAAAGGCATCCAGCCTGGAAGAAGGTGAAGATGACCTAGACTGTCAAGGAAACTTAGCCAGGGGTGCGGTGCATTATAGCAGGTTGGTAACAAGGAATCCTGGCACACAGAGGTGTGTATACAAGTGTAGCAAGTTTGGGTGCTAGAACTGTATGATGGGAAGCCCATGTAAAGATAGATCCAAAATGTTTGTGGCTCCATCCTCAGGTTAGTCTCCTGACATGGCTCTTCCTAATTTGTCAGTGGGTGACTGAGCCAGACCTGTTGTTCAGACCTGGCTTGAGGTTTCACTACTTCGCCCAGCTCTAGTGTGAAGATGTCTTTTAAGCTGGTGTAGCATTTTAGCCATGGTAGCCTTCCTGTAGCACAGGGGGTTCGTGGTGAGCGCACGAAGCCCGAGGCTGTTTAATTTGTTAAATGGCATTGCACCAAAGAGTCAAAGTGCTGCTTTGATTTTGATTTTGAAAATCATGCCTTCAAAACACCTGAAGCCAAAGATATTTTTTTTTTATGAGATTATCTGACGGGTTCCAGACACTGGAAGCAAGAGGTCAGATGGAAATCAGGTTGGGATGCTTAGGAGAGATTTATTGGGGCTACCAGGAGAACTGAGAGGAGGGCAGAAGAGGGTATGTTGGAAAAATGCCAGTGAAGCAGCCAGCAGCATTGTCGGAGAACTCCATGCTGAGATCATAAACCCACTCGGCACATTGTGGCGTTAACCTGAAGCAAATGGGAAGGACAGGGCACCAAATTCTTTGGTATTTAAAATATACGTCCTTTAAGGACTATCCTATCCTATCAGTTGGTGGCGAAAAAGACCTTTTCAAGGGCAAGTCCACAGTTCAACCTCCTGCCTAGCAGCATAGAGTATCTGCAACATACCAGATCTTAAAGTATAACTCTTAGCCAGAAGTTCAAGTCTTTTCTTGGCCATTAACATACAAGAAGATGAGGCTCTTTGGCCCAAATTTTAAAAGATATTTAGGCATTGCTATGCTCAGTGTTGTGACGCCTAAGTCTCATCTTCCAAAGGGATTTAGGTGCTCAGGAGCCAACAGCCCATGGACAGTCTTTCTGTGTGCTTCCAGCGCTGGTTTAACCAGAAGCCTGTACTGTTACAATGAGTCTTCATGTGGTGTCCCTACAACTATGGCATAAGAACATAAGAATGGCCATACGGGGTCAGACCACAGGTCCATCTAGCCCAGTATCCTGTCTGCCGACAGTGGCCAATGCCAGGTGCCCCAGAGGGAGTGAACAGAACGGGCATAGCAGTACTCCGTATTGGAAGAGACTCCTCCCTGTATTTCGTTACCCTGACAGTTATTTACAAAACTAAAGTTTTGTGTGTGTGTGGGGGGGGGAAATCGCCTCTTGATCAGTTTATGGGAAACGGTTTGTTTTATTCACCCAGGATGAGCAGACAGAAGAAAACAATGAAGCTTTCCCGGGCTCTCTCTGACCTGGTGAAGTATACAAAGTCTGTTGGGATCCATGATGTTGAAACTGAAAGTAGGTTGATCTAAGTATCTGCTAAAAACTAACTGCTCTGCATAGAGCTTGGAAACTGACATGGAAGGTTTATGTTCTTGCACCTAATTTTGATTATAAACGCTTTATTCCAAGAGGAATTTGACAGCAGAGCTGCATGCAATAAATCTGTGTCATTTCAAAGTGGCCAGTCATCATTTGTTAAGACTTGGAGTCTGAAATGTGAATCTGGATTTGTGCAGGAACTTCATTAAAGTGGATAAAAATAACCACATGTTGTAGTAACCCATTGGCTACTGCCAATTGCTAGAAAGGCTGCTGTATGCCAGTTTACACTTTAAGAAACAGGATAATTCTGAAAGGACATTTATGCTGCTCCCAACTAGAATTTGTGGTGTTTTGGAGAGGAATCACTACATGAGAAATTTTAATCTTCATTACAAAGCAATAGGAAAATCTCCAGAACTTTGGCTAAGTATATGAAAGTTCAGGTGCTGCTTCAAAACAGTTGATTCTGCAAAATGAAACTGCTTGGAGATTTTAGCCCTCCTTGGATGTTTTCTGCACCTGATCCTGAGCAGAACCAGGAAGTCCAAATGCCACCTGTAGCAGAGAGAAATATTAAGGGATTAGGGGATTTAAACTTTCCTCAAGCCATCCCCAAACCTCAAAGATTTGGGTCAAGTTCTGTGTGATGATTCAGATCATTATTGTACCTGACCTGGATTTCCCACCTCTAACTCTTCCATGCATGAAACAAAATGTGGTGATGGAAGAGAGCGAAAACCATATCTGATCAGGTTGTGTTTGCAAGAAAATTATTAGTAACTGATGGGAAGTTGTTGGAGGGGATTGTTTTTAAGGGGAAGCCATCCCCTTCTAACTTTCTTCTCTCCTTGCAGTCTCTTCCAGTTGGCAGGTCTCATCTTTCAGCGAGACAAAGGCCCACCAGATACTCCAGCAAAAGCCAGCACAATATCTGCGTTTCAACCAACACCAGTTGTCCCGCATCTACCCGTCTTCCTATCGCGTAGATTCCAGCAATTACAATCCCCAGCCCTTCTGGAACGCTGGTTGCCAGATGGGTAAGCAAAAAGGATGTTTTGTTTTATTTTATTTTTTTAACTAGGTGGAAATCTCATGCATGAATGGGGTCCCAGAATCTTTCTTTGAAAGAGAGGCTGAACAGAAAGCCCCAGCAAAGACCCTTAGGTTACCTGATCATCCAACTCTCCTGACATCTGGGTCTTTGGTACCTGGGGTATTGTCTGTGTCTCTAGTAGGGTAGGATGCCTTGAGTATGCATATGCCTAGTGGCTGAGACATGGAAAGCAATGCCCTCCTGCCCACATGCAAGAAACCCTACAGACAGGAGGAAAGACTCTCCCTGGAGCTGTGCTATCTTGGGTTTACGAGGAGAAGAGGGTCCCTGTTCCAACATCTCTGGCTCTCTGTCACCAGTTTAAAACATATGTAGGTTTTCTTTCCTGCGAATGCTCTCAACAGACTTAATGTCATTGCGTCCTTCTTTGCAACAGTCGCATTGAACTATCAGTCAGAGGGGAGAATGCTGCAGCTGAACCGGGCCAAGTTCAATGCCAATGGGAATTGCGGCTATATCCTCAAACCGAAGTGCATGTGTCAAGGTAAGGAAACGCCAGCCAGTGAGGGCTGCAGAGGGAGAGGAAGGTTCCTGAGGGTGGGAACGGTACTTTATGAGGGAAAGATGCATGGCACTGCTATGCATTGTGGGATATGCCAGCAAGCGATGAGAATGGAAGTAGTAGAGTCAGTAACTCGTTATGTTTGGGCTTGATTTTTCCAACGGTTTCTGAAGTTGTGTGAGTGTAGGGGAGTGTACGTGTACAGCTGCTGGGCGCTTTCCTCCAGCCTGAGGAAACCCTTTGAAACTTCAGGCCTTAACCTGCTCTTACGCTGGCGTGAGCACCGCTGACATCAGTGAAGTTGTTCCTGAATTACACTGGTGGAAGTGAGAGCAGGTTTGGCCCAGTATCCCCAAGTGTCTCTGAATGCATTGGGATGGATTAATTTCCCCCCAGTACATGCACCATAGACTTATTCGTTAATACTTCTTGAAAGTAGAGACTGCATGTACTGTCACATGGGCTGTGTGTAACTATAGGCACATGAAACGTCATCTAAGGTAGTCACAGATAAGTGAAAGCTAAACGAGGCCCATATCTCCCCACACACGAGAAAGACTCATCCTCTCTACAGTGTCCATATTGCGATGGGCTGGAGTTATGGAGGTTTTCTCCCGAATGGAGTTTGGATTGTATTGCTCTAGGGATGGTGCCTGCAGCAAGGAACCTACGCACCTGCCACTACATACTAACCACTGCTCGCATCCACAGTGATAGAGGGATTGGGATCAGTATATAAAATATCCGTTTCTTTGATCTCTATAAGGCTTTCACTCTGTAAGGCACCATCTTCTCCCCTTCAGCCCAGCCAAGTCAGGCAAGAATTCACAAACCCCCACAGCACTAAGTGCTTCCCAGTCCGTTCTCTTTAACGAAGACAGAATCCCAATTTAGAGCATCAGCTGACAGGTAAATGTAAGTTGGGCAGGCTCTGTAGCCTCGAGAGGTGACAAATTGCTCTCCGTCTAAATCCACAAAACACAGCACGGGGAACCAAACATTATCCTACCGGAGAGATTCCGTAGTAAACAAAGCTGGAATAGTATTGACGGGTATCCAAAGTGGTACAGGGATTGGGACCCAGCCCTCACAGGAGACGCATCTCTTGGTCCTGCTGCATGTAGGTTTATATAATTGTTTGTCATAATAATCATCAGATTTTGGGGTGGGGGTTTCAAAACCACTTGAGTGATGTAGGAACCACAAGTCCTATTGAAAGTCAGCAGGACCTGGGTTTCTAAGTCACAAAGGGAATGTCTACACCACAATTAAAAACCGGTGGCTGGCCTGCAACAGCTGACTCAGGCTCGCGGGACTTGGGCAAAGGGGCTGTTTAATTGCAGTATAGACATTCGGGCTCAGGCTGGAGCCCGGGCTCTAGGACCCTGCGAGGTGGGAGCGTCCCAGAATGTCTACACTGCAATTAAACAGCCCTTTAGCCCGAGCCCAAGCCAGCTGGCATGGTCCAGCCATGGGTATCTAATTGCCATGTAGACATATCCTTAGACATCTTGAAAATTACACCCTTTGTCAGTTATATTTTGGAATTTTAGAGGAAGGGGGCTTTGTTTGTTTGGTTTTTTGTACAGTTCTCACCACTGCAGTCTTACCTTCACTGTGGTGTTCGTTACCACTTCCTAAGGAAATGCCATGGTAACCGTATCTACTTGCAAAAGCAGACATGCAAAAATTGTACACCGATTGCCATTACGTGCACTCATAAGTTACAGGGGGTGCACTTTTATTAAGTCTAGTTTAATTAAATCAGTTACACTAATGTGCTTCAGAGTGGTAGCTGTGTTAGTCTGTATCAGCAAAAACAACGAGGAGTCCTTGTGGTACCTTAGAGACTAACAAGGGTTCTAGCCCACGAAAGCTTATGCCCAAATAAATTTGTTAGTCTCTAAGGTACCACAAGGACTCCTCGGTGTTTTTACTAATGTGCTTGTGGTTAGAACAACTCTTAAGCGGAGCCTAGTGCATGTGGAATGTTTTATGGGTGTGCATAGGTCTGTGCAGGTGTGGTCCTCCTTTAGGCCTACACTACTACACTTTATGGGATGCGTAATGACTATCTCCCTTGAAGGCACCCAGCTATTAAGGATCTATGTGTTTGTTTCAAGCTCCATTGAAGCAGATTTGTCCCTGAGAAAGATGAAACCATCATTTTTATTTGGTTGATTTCTCATTTAATTCATCACTTTCTCTCTGTCTGAAACCCTTTATCTAGAATCCTACATATTTCTGATAATGTGGCCTTAAGCAAAGTATTTTAATACTATCTTAGTGATTGAGTTGTCATATGTAAACAACTCTCACTTTTCTTCATTGATTTAATATCTGCCCAGCCCTGGATTTTTAAATAAATTGAATTTACTATCCTATCTTTTTTATTGCAATGTCCCATCTCCTCCCACTGCTCTACAACAGTACAGTCCATTACTATCCCTTGCTTGAGCTTGTCTTCAAAATGCTCTTTTAACTTCAGATTACTGCTGGCTGATGCTTTCTTTCTGTTCTAGTATAAGTCAGGAATGACACAGTAGAGCACTTGCTAGCATCCTAAGTCGAGAGTTTCAGTGTGTTATGAATTATTTCACCTCAGCAAAGTTCCAGTGTTTATGATGTAAAAGCTATTGGTGATGATTCCAAAGCCATAAAATTCAGGTCTGGATTTTGAAATCCACCACACAAAATTATGGGATGTTCAGATCCAACCTCTCAGTGCCACCAGATCTAAACTACTACCTGGTGATTAATTTGGTAACATGCGATGTTTGCATCTAAAGCTCTTTCCAGTGGCCTTTGTAAGCAATTAACTTGTCCTTGGTGCTTGCTATGCTGAAAAGTATCCAAAATGCTGTGCCAGTGTGTTACCTGCTTGTAAAGATGTTAATGAGTATGGTCCATTTTTGGATGTTTATACCTATAAGTGCTTGAGGGGACTGGGTGGGGCACCTTCCTAAGCACAGTTTGTAACAACTGGTTGTAGAGTCAAATCAGCAAGGAAAAGAGAGAGGAAGAGCTCGCGGAAAATGTCACCATCCATAAAATAGTGCCAGTCCTCCTTTATGTTCTGCGGATTCTTGCCCCCACAGGTGTCTTTAACCCAAATTCTGAAGACCCACTCCCCAATCAGTTGAAGAAGCAGCTGGTGTTGAGGATAATCAGCGGGCAACAGCTACCGAAGCCCCGGGACTCCATGCTGGGAGACAGAGGAGAGGTGGGGAATGCTGAACGGGGGATGAGGCTCTCCTATCTGAGAGTGTCTGTCTGTCTGGGGGCTGGTCTGGACAAGTCCTTAACTTTTTGCATTTGTTTCTATGGGAAACACTGAGCTTCACTTCGAATATATCATGCAGCTCATTAGCTTCCAAGAGCACCAGGTGCCTTTCCTCCCTTACGCATTGTGGAGCTAATCTGTTCTGCCTTATTCTCATACGGCGCCTCTAGGATGTTTAGGAAAAGCCAAGATGCTCGATCACTGTGACGGGTCCCTATTCACTGCAGTGCTCTTAAACTCTCAAACAGAGCCAACAAAACCCTGCGTCCCCTAAAAGTGCACAAAACTGCTGAGCTCGTCAGCAAGACAAATGAAGCTACTTGAGGGTCCCTCTTGTCCTCTGCCTGTGTGAATAATATTCCCAGCCTCCCGCTCCCCAGCACAGCGCATTGTGTGCCTTCTCTACTCGTCCCCTCTTTGGTTTGGTTTGGTTTGTGTGTGTGTGTGTGTGTTGTGGCAGTTTATTTTGTTGTTTAAAGCCTCTGGCAACTCTGATTAAAGCAAAATCAGCCAGTGTTGGGGCTTTTTATTTCTTCTGCTGTTGTGTATCAAATGCTTGTGGAGTATGGCCAGTGTGCCTTTATTAATTAAACATTAGTCTTCAGGAAATTTGAAGACCAACTAGCTCCAAGTAAGACTTCCTCTCAAGCCTTTAGCCCATTAGAACTAGAACCGAACCTCTGAGTGGTTCTGAAATGCTTGGATTTGGAACGAATACTTCGAAATACTCTTTCCCTGAATGCTTAGCATTGAGAGATGTATCAGTCTGGAATGGCTGTCATAATCCAAGTGTGAGTCTGGAATGGCTGTCAATCCAAATGAAGGTTCTGGCCAGAAGCAGCAGGATGGTGTGCGGTTGAATTGTTGGATTGTTGCCTTAGAGATACATATTCCAGTCCTAGTTTTTCCACAAACTCCCTGTTGGGCAAGTCACATAATCTCCCTGTGCCTCAGGTCCCCGTCTCTGAAACGGGGATAATAGTCTCCCCTTTTCCTGCCTTTTGTCTGTCTTGTGTGTGGAGAGTGAAAGCTCTTTGAGATAGGGACTGTCTCTGCATCTGTGTAGCGCCTAGCACAATGGGGCCTTGATCTCAGGTGCAGCTTCTAGGTGCTCCCGTAATACAAACGAGATTTATTGGTGGGGTGGGAGAAGCTGCTAATATTGAAAGATTAATGGGCCATGGACTCCACATAGAAAATAATGAGTCAACATCTTTCTTTCACTTCCCTTTTTTATTGCCAAGGGCACTTGGGCTGTGCATAGGTTGTCTTCTCCTCAGAGAGAATTTTCATCTCCTTTCTCTCCTGCCTGTGTATTCCCCACCCTCAAGTGAGGCAAACCTCACTTTGTGACATCACAGTTAGATTCTCTGGAGGGGTTTGTGGTGTCACAAGCAGAGGATGGTGACAAATGGGTCCTTTTGGCAGGAATAGTTCCCTAATAAAGTTTTAAAAACAAAACAGAGAAAAGGTTGAGGGTGGGGAAAAGCAGAAAATAATTGAGCGGATGTTGCCCCAAAACTCCAGATTCCAACACCCGTGATGGTCATTGTATCTGGTAGAAACTTGGTAATTTGGAGATTACAATATTTCAAAATTTGTTTTTGTCCCAAATCAGACAAAAAAATCTACCTTGACATTTTTTTCACAAAATAAAATAGGTAACTTTTTATAGAATAGAAAAGTCAAAACAATAAAATTGAAATGAAATGTTTGGATACTTTCCTATGAAAATTTTGATGAAATTGATACATTCCCATGAAACGTTGAGATTTCACAGAATCTGCTTTTTTGGGCTGCAGATAGTTCTGTCGGAAAATTTTCGACCAACTCTAATCTTTAGGGATCCCAGTTTCACAGCTCAGGTCCATCTTTACACAATGCATTGTCCTGAAGTATAACAGGGCTTCAAGGCTTTCACTGACACGTTAAGAATTTTAAAATTCCAGTTTGAATGGAATAGAACAGCCCCACGAGCCCGAGTCAGCTGGCACGGGCCAGCTGTGGGTGTTTAACCGTAGACAGACCCTAAATGACTTAGAAATAACATTGACACCTGTGCCCTAAAGTCCCTTAGGCCTGACCTACACTAAAAAGTTCGGTTGACCTAGCTACGTTGCTCTGGACATGGAAAAACACCCACCCCTGCCCAATGTAGTTAAGCCCACCTAACTTCCCTGTGCAGACAGTGCTGGGTCAGTGGAAGAATTCTTCCGTCGACCTCGCTACCGTCTCTCAAAGAGGTAGATTAACCACAAGGATGGGAGAACCCCTCCCATTGGCACAGGTGGTGTCTCCAGTGACATGCTGCAGCTACGCTGCTGCAGAATTTCAAATGTAGACAAGCCCTTGGCTGCTTTCGGAAACCCCACCCTTTCTTTTATTGGCCGGA